TTATCGACGTGTCACTAAAATAAATATCTAATTACACTTTTGCGCGAGCTAAGAAAATTAAAAAATTGATAATAAAACCGATAATACGGTCGGGGAGAAGAAAATAATATTTCGAGAGGAGGAGAGAAAAACGAGAGAGAGAGAGAGAGAGGAAGATGAAAAAAAAATAAAATAAAACCGTAAGATGAAAAGAGATGAAAGAAGTGAGAGAAGCGAGGGAGGGGAGGGAAAGGAGGAGAGAAGGAGGAGAAAAATAAAAGATGTCGAATTCGATGAGAACCAACTGCCAATTAACTTAATTTTACTCTCGGTGTAAGAAAGAAAGAAAAAAAAAAATTTTTCCGCTGTCGTAACGAAAGACTTAAAATCAGTTAAGCGTTAATTTCATCGCTTAGAAAATTGCTTTAAAACTCGTTTATATATTTAGCAAAATACTTTTACTCCGAAAAGAGAGAGAGAGAGAGAGAGAGAGAGAGAGAGAGAGAGAGAGAGAGAGAGAGAGAGAGAGAAAGAGAGAAAAAGAGAGAGATGATGTTTTTTTTTTTTTCTTTTCTCTGTTGCGAATGTTTTCGCGGTTTTTATTATTATTATTATTATTATTATTATTATTATTAATATTATTTTAAAAACAAACGCAACGTGTTTTAAAAATAAAAAGCGCGAAAATTATTATTATTATTATTATTATTATTATTATTATTATTATTATTATTATTATTATTATTATTATTGTAACAACGACCGAAACTTATTTAAAAATTACTTCATTCATTCCCTTTCTCTCTCTCTCTCTTTCTTACTTTCTCTCTTTCCCTCTCTCTTTTTCCTCCCTTTCCGTCTTTCTCTTTACCTTTTCCTCCTTATTCTCTCTCTACCTCTCTCTCTTTCTTTTTCTTATTCTTTCTCTTACTTTCTTTCTCTCTCTCTCTCACTCTCTTACTTTCTCTCTTTCCCTCCCTCTATTACTTTCTTTCTCTCTTTCTCTCCCTCTCTTTCTTTCTCTCTCGTTCTTTCTCTGTCTCCTTATTCTTTTTCTTCCTCTCTCTTTCTCTCTCTCTCTCTCTTACTTTCTCTCTTTCCCTCTCTCTTTCTTTCTCCCTTTCCATCTTTCTCTTTCTTATTCTTTTCCATTCACTCTCACCTTTTTCTAATTCCATATTTAATTAAATTAAACATAAACTCGGTTAACCAATCAATAATTAATTTTTTCTTTTCTTTGACGTGGCACCAACGACACACACACACACACTACTTCGTTTTATATTAATAAACGTGTAATCTTAATAAGAAAAAACTTTTCGGATTTGACCTATCACGCGAATAAACATTATTATTAAATGTTTCGTTGATTCGACATGAAAACAACAACAACAACAAATCGCCTTTCGTAGTGTAAATAATTAATTTTGGGGGGTCGAAGTCGTTCTGAAGGGAGGAGAGAGGGTAGGGGCAACAAAGAACTTAGAAAAACAAAAATCCATCCAATGGGAAAAACAAATTTAAAAAAAATAAACATAATTACGAACCTGTTGTTTTGTTATGTAAATGGGTTTGTTTAGTATGACCCACGTGACGGTTTCGTGGCACGCGGGCATCGTCGTCGATCCGTCATACGTCATGTAATATTCCGTTTCCGGTAGTAGATTTTTTATCGATATCCTTTTAACTTCGACTTCTTCTCCTCCATATTTGATTTTTTCTAATTGATCAGTCAATATTCTTAATTCCGGATTTGATAAATCTCCTAACTGGAAAACAAACAATGAACGACGACATGAAACATTTTTATAACAAAGAAAAGAACAAATTTTCCTTTTAAAGGAAATGAATAACGGGAGGAGGGGGAGGGGAAAGGAAAAGAAAGAAAAAGAAAAAATTCGATATTGAAATATTCTTCCTCATTGTACGATTCATAACTTTTTTTTTTCTTTTTTTTCCTTTTTCTTCCTTCCTTTTCCTTTGAACTTATTCCTTTTTTTTTTTTATTTTCCTTTTACAAAAAATTTTCCTGTCTCCTTTTTTTTTATATATATTTTAAATCATTCAAATACGATTCAAATATTAAATTTCTCAAATTTTTGCATTTTTTCATATATATAACGCATGATTGACATTCTTTCAATTGTGTTGACTACATTCGTTAGACAAAAAAAAAAAAAAAAAAAAAATTGTCAGCAGTGTTGCCAAAATAAAAAAAAAAAAATATTGAAACGTAAATAAAAAAAAAAAAAAAAAAAAAAACCGAAAATTAATTTTTTCTTTTCCGTTTTTTTTTTTTTTT